CCCCCCCCCCCCCCAACCACATACATCCCATTCCCCCACCCACCGCAATTTTGATAAAGAGCGGCGGTTTGTGTATCTTAAAGGTGCCGATCTCCTCCTGCGCGGCGTCGACCAGCTTGGCCAGCTCGTCACGCTGCTGCAGCGCCCGCAGGCCGGGGGTGTTGGGCGACGACACGTTGATGACCAGGTAGTCGGCCAGGGGACCCAGACGCCTCGCGCCCTCTCGGATGTCGGCAGCTGCGTCGGTTGAGGTCTTGTTTTTGCCTGGAGGGTGCCATACAGAGAGGGGAGAGTGTGTGTGTGTGTGTGTGTTGTGTTACCCAGGTTGACGCCGATTTTGCCCATTCTGGTGAGAGGCTCTTTCTCCTTGACCTTGCGCATCGCCTTCAGACGCTCTTCAACCTTGGCTATACCATCGCTGACCACACACACACGCGGGCGTGTCTGCAGACCTCCACTCCAGGTAGGTAGCCATATGGATCCCTCCCGACCGCCCCACCTGTTGAATCCGCATCTGTTGACGATGGCGGCGTCTTCCCCTAGCCTGAAGATGCGCGGCGTAGGGTTGCCGCTCTGCGGCTCGGGACACACTGATCCCACCTCCACAAACCCAAAACCCATCCTGAATGACCACACACGTCACGTACACACACGTGCTTCCGATGGTGTGGTGTGTGCGCAACGAATGGGGTCTCTCTGTCTGTCTGTCTGTCTGTCTGTCTGCAGGTCTGCAGGTCTGCCTGCCCTGCATGCCTCATGCACTCACTTGAGGAAGGACAGCGGCCCTTCAGCGTTCTTGTCGAAGCCAGCCGCAAGGCCGACGGGATTGGGAAGCCTCAACTGACCATCTGACCGCCACACACATCAATCACATCACATCTCTCTCTCTGGGCCATCCACGAGTACAGGTATCAATCCCCCCACCCACCCACCCACCAGCGAGTGCAACCCTTGCTGCAGGGTCGTCCTTATCCAGGTCTTCAGGCAGCAGGTCGTGTGCGGCCGCCCACATGACGATGTCGTGAGCTGTCTCGGGGTCGACCTTCTGCAGCATCTGCGTCACAAACGGGTACAGCGGCGAGTTGACGTCACGCAAAGTGGAGAAGGTATACACGCTGAAGAACCCCACGGCCAGGCCCAGGATGCGGTTGACCTGGTTGACACACCACACCCGCGCGTGATGCGAGAAGCATCACACCCCACCCCACACCACGACAGACATGCATCCTGCATTCATTCAAGGACTCACCCAGACGTTTGACATTCTCCTGGCCCGCTGTTCCATCTGCTCGAGGGCCTCCTTGTCTGGCAGGCCCTCAGGCCCCATCATAGCGGCCACAGCGTCGCGCGGCAGTGGGGAGTATTGTGCGGAGGCGGGGGAGCGGGGTGGCGAGGGCGGAGAGGAGAACGGGCGGATCTGGATCTGACAGTGGCGGTGAAGAACCGCCCACTGGCACGCACCCAGCCGCATAGCCGACTTGTTTTGCCACTCATGATCCGCACTGGTGACTGTTGTGGTTGCGATGAGTCTGCGCTGCGTCCTCCATGCTGCGGTGGGAGGCACTGAGGGAATGGGCAGGCGGAATCGCGACATTGGCAAGACCACACGATACACCGATCTTTCATCGACCTCTCTAAGCTCGCAGCGCTGGCACGGTTTCTTTTTCGTAGTGAAGATGCTATGCATTGCAAACTTCTTTCCTTCCTTGTTCGTCTCATCCCCTAGGCAGCGCATGTACAGACAGACGCGTCCCACAGCCCCCCGAGTCGAACGAATATGCACATCACATGTATCGCCCTCCCTCCGGTCGTGGACTGACGCGATGCCCCGCACAAGCTTACTTGCAACGGTTGCCGCTTCCCACACATTACACGCAGATTGACATACAGACATACATACAGACAGACAGACAGACGTGGTACAAACATTGTGCAATTAATGCAACAGCGATCAAACCGATATAGTACGTGTGTGCAGTCGAGATGGATGGAAGATGCGGAAACTTGTGCAGACAGACAGACAGACAGACGGACAGACGGAGATACAGGCAGGAAGAAGACAAACACTTTCCTGCCAGCCAGCCAGTCAGTCGAAAAGGTCGGCAGCCGATCACACAAACCGACGGCTTGCATCGTCTTCGGTGTGACTGACTGCTTCGTGTGCATCCACACAATAAACAGTGTCATACTCCTACGCCCATCGACGCCCCTCACAAAATTACAGCTACCAACGAGATCAGTGGAGTGTCTATGGTACGCAGAACTCATGTGTGCCTCGCCTAGGTCCTTCTCTATCTATGTGTGATGGTACAAAAATGTGGAGGCCGACTCTGGCTGTCTGTCTGTCTGTCTGTGAGTCGGCCCTCCCCTACAGAGCACCACCGAAAACAACTTAAGATGACAAACTTACCCCTCACCCACCCATCCCCAGCCGGTCTGTCGTCGTTGTGTGCGATGCATCCATTTTGTGTAAGTAAGACGGGCGGGCGGGAGACAGATGGCACTCGCTGGTCTCTGTCTGTCTATGCACACCTCACCTAGCTGCTACGATAGAGAGAGATGTAGATTCCCTCCGTCCCATCTCTCCTCTCGTCCATCACATTACATACATCGATAAAGTGAATAAATAGCAAGCTATCGACATGAAGACCCAGTTACGTGACACGCATGAACGGAGCAGAGGCCAGCCAGCAAGGCGGCGCCCCCCTCAGTCAGTCAGTCAGTCAGTCTTCCTCCCGCCCTCCCTCTCTCCCTCCCTCCCTCCCTCCCTCTCGTGCCTCTACTCTTTGACTCTATGGCCCGCCCTGCACAGGCCGTCACGCCACATCAGTCAATCCACCCATCCGCTTTCGGATGCTCGTACGTACGGTTGGTATTCAGGCCTGCCTCTCCAGCCGTGATAGATATGTGGGTATGCATGCGTACGGCGCCCTTACAGCTCATTTCGGCTTGCGGCTTACAGACAGACAGACAGACAGACAGACAGAAGGTAGGCAGAAGACAGACAGAAGGTGGGAGATGTGATGGCGGTCGGGCGGAGGGGAGGGAAGGGGAAGAACATGTGTCCCTCCCTCCTATTTTCCTCTGTCTGTCTGTCTGTCTTATCTCCTAGTGAGCGAGCGATATAAATCAATTGGCATGGATGGATGGACGGATGGGCGGGTGGGTGGGCGGGTGGGTGGATGGCACATAGATGGATGCGATTGGCTGCCTGCATGATGGTCTCATCCATCCATCAACCTTTCGGCCTGCCTCGATGTATGTATGTATGTATGTGCGAATAAATATGCACTGTACACCCACATGCTTACCTACTCACTCACTCGCTCACTCACTCACCTGACGTAAAGAACCTGCCATATGGCCTGCCTATACATGACATCACAGCATAGCACACAGGACAGTCTACGCAGCATCCATCACCAGCAGCAGTCAGGCTAATTGTACTCTACCTACCTATCTTCACAACGAAAGCAACAACGAACGAACGAACGAAGGGGGAGAGGAGAGAGACACTCTCGCCCTCCCTCCCCTCCCCGCCCCGCCCCGTCCGCCTTAGAAAATTGTCTCGATCTCTCTCTGCTTTCATCCACCCACCCATGTACCCACCCCATGCACAGTCAGTACTCACAGCGACCGACCCATCTCTCCCTCCCTCCCTCACGTTTTCTTCCTGACGACGTCGAGAATGTCCCTCCCCGTGGCCTTCATCTCCATCCCCACCTCGAAGACCAGCTCCTCCCAGTGCGAGTCAAACCCGTCGCCCCCTCCGTCAATTTCACTGTCCTCGCGCATGGCGTTGCCGTGCACCGGCTCGGTCACCACCCGCACGCCCCGCCTCAACCCCCTCCCGTTCAGCCCCTCGCTCACATCCCGCTGCACACCGCCATTCTTCTTGTCGTCGGGCGACAACATCCCACTGCGGTCCGACCCAGCGCCGAAACGCGGCGACTCCCGGGGGCTCCCCACGTCGGTGCTGATCATCGAGTGCACATGCGGCAGCCTGGGGCCCGGTCTTGGTTTCTTCTCCACTGTTGGCCGCTGCTGCTGGTTGTTGCTGCTGCTGCCGGGAGGGGGAGGGGTGGTGATGGTGGTGAGGGGGCCGATGGGTGGGCTGCTGCCGTTGTTGGGCGAGGGCGGAGAGGGAGAGGGGGACTGGGAGGGCGACCTCGAGCCAGCGATGGGCGTGCCCGGCTTGATCATCTCGGTGCGGAAGCGGTCGATGGCGCAGCCGAGCGAGGCCAAGTCCAGCGGCATGAAGTCGTTGGCCGTGATGGGGCAGGGCACCCGGTGTGAGGTCCACTTCTTGACGTCCTTGTAGGCCTTCTTGAAGTCCTTGGGCGAGAATCGCACCAGCCCGTGGAAAAACGAAGAGGGCGCGGGCGGGTTGGACGTGTCGAGGATGACCTCACGGCGGTCGAAGGTAACCTCGGCCTCCCCTCTGGCGAAGGGCCCTGCGAATCCGTCAGTGTCGTCAGATGAGGGGAGCAGGAGCCTGGGCGGGAAATGGTAGGGCAGGGTGGGGGGGCTGAGGCGGACGGGGGCCCGCAGCTGACGGAGCTGCTCGCCCCACACCATCAAGTCCTGATCAATCAAGCGAAGGAATCCAGACACAGACACACGTGTGGACACACCGGTGTGGATGCCTTTTCTCCCTTTCTCAGCTAACCGCCAGGAATCTCGGCGTGCACTCCAGCTCCCGAATCGCCTGCCCATGACCACCGTATGGGAAAACCTGCAGGCCAACAGACAGACAGACAGACAGACAACGGTGGCATCCACCGCATCCATCCATCGCATCCATCCATCCGTCTGTGTGTGTGTGTATCTGAGTGCAGTGCTATTTGCGTCTCTCTGACGTACCCGCCAGACTTTGAGTGGCGACGTGGCTGCGCTGAAGAACGCCCGAGCGCTCTCCAGCGGTGCGATCTCGTCGGCTCCGCCGTGGACCTGGAACAGCGGCACTTTGGGGCGATTCACGCTCCCCATCACGTTCAAATCCCCTACACACACAGACACACAACACCAAACACACAACACAAAAAACATATGCGCAATCAGCCCAGCCATATATCTGCGTCCCGCTGATATATCGATCTGATCTATGTCACCTTGAAACATTTTGTTGGCATAAGGTGCGAGCCAATTGTACTTGGCCGTGTCGGCGAGGTAGGCCGGCGCGGCGTCGGCGAGTCTGGCCACGAGCCCGTCGAGGAAGAGGCCGGCGACTGCCTCCTGGTACCAGCCGTCTGTGGCGAGCGTGACGGCGAGTGTGCCGCCGAGGCCCACTCCTGCGATGATGAGTTGCGATGGCACCAGACCCATTTTCTCCGTCAGCAGACCACGGAAATGACTCACAAACGCCTCCAACGACTCGAGGCGACGACTGTATACAGCACAACCAACACACACAGCAGCCATGACCACGCACACACACACTCCCTGTCCCTGTCCCTCTCACCGTCTGGGAGCGAATGGGTACCACTCCGGTGCGACCACTGTCGCCCGAAAGGCTAGCGACAGAAGGCGCACATACTGGATCGTGTCGGCGTCAGCCAGGCCGGTCTCGCGGCTGTGGAAGAACACCACAGTCTGCCCGCTGTAGGGCGCGGTGCCGTCAGCGGGCTCCCGGTACGGCACACAGAGGGCGGGGATGCTGGCCGTGTCGGGATCTTGGGGCGGGGGCGGGGGGAGGTACGTGAGGATGCGCTGGCGGGAGGCCTCGTACAGGCCGCTGCTGCGTTCGGCCGACTGGAGGGGCGGGAGGATGGCCTCCTCCTCGGCCCCCACTCTGCAGGCCTTGGCGATCAGCTCCACCATCTTGCCCTTGATCTTTGTTTGCTGCTCAGGCGTATAAAACTTTGCCCAGCACCACGCAACTGAAAGTGAAGATAGGCAAGCAAAAACAGACAGGCAGGCAGGCAGGCAGACTGACAGAGCGCCGTCTTGCCAGGTGCGTAAGATCTGCTGGTTGGGCTGCTTACCGAAGGCCTCGAGGAGAATGGTGTCGCCCCTTGCGTGGCCGGCCTGTCCCTCTCAGGCAGGCAGTGCGCACCTCCCTTTTCTGTCCCTCCGCCGACTGGCTGCAGATGTGCGCCCCCTTCTGTGCTGCAGACAGCTTCAGATGCCTTGTCTGCGGGCGCCTCCAAGCCTCTGTCCAAGATGCGAGCTGAACGGCCAGCGATCTGGACACTTTGGGCTGAGACGACGCAAACAGACGACTGTGAAGCCCGCCGAGGAGCTGTCGGTTGAGCGCGAACTCCCATTTCCCACTCCCGAGCAAACCACAGCAGAGCGATGGCGTCGAACGGCATAGTGCTCAAGAAGCCCACCTTCATCAAGGTGGACCAGCTGCAGCCTGACTCCAGGGGCGTCAATGTCATCCTCAAGGTCAAGACCTCACACACCAAACTCGAGAAGGACCGCCAGGACGGCAGCAAGATGCGCATCGGAGAGGCCATCGCCGGTAGGGCAGACAGACACCAGACCAGGCAGAGGCACACACGATGCGATGAATGGGAAACCATGCACTTGGACCTGACTGTCTTCTGTGTGTCTCGATGTGTGTGTGGGTGTGGGTGTGGGTGTGTTGTGTGTGTTGGCCAACCAACTGTCTGTCAGGCGACGACACGGGCATGGTGACGTTGACGCTGCGCGGCGAGCAGATCGAGACGTGCCAGCCTGGCAAGACGATCGTGGTGCGCAACGGCAAGATCCAGATGTTCAAGGGCCACATCCGGCTGGAGGTCGACAAGTGGGGCAAGATCGTCCAGGCCGAGGAGGAGGCCAAATTCGAGATCAACGAGGGCAACGACGTCTCGTCCACCGAATACGAACTCGTCACCATCAACGAGGGATAGATAAATCGATCAACATGATGAGCAGAGCAGCCGTACACATTTCGGCGAGGGAGAGAGGAGGGTGGGACGATGTGGTGTGATGTGTGTGATGCGATCGATGTCTGTGTGCTGGATTGACTGGCTGACTGACTGGCTGAGGGAGGGAGGGGTGTGTGTGTGGATGGATGGATGGATGGATGGATAGATAGATGGAGGGGAGGTTGCGATAGATAGCGGTCTGTGCAGAGCACATTGCCTTGTGTGTTTGTCACCACACGTGCTCGGCACATGTATGGTGTGCACAAGCACAGACAGACAGACCGACCGACCGACACGAGCGTTGCGAACACAACACAACACACCACACCACACTGCCCGCACCGATTAATCAATCAATCCATGAGGTCGAGGGGATCATCGCTACTGCGTCACACACGCATGGCAGACGTCCCTTTGTCGAGCAGTGTGTTGGGCTTGGCTGGGCTGGCTGTTTTTCTCTCTCACGGATGGGATGGATGGATGGCCACACACCGCACCGGACGGATGCAATGCACACACACGCACATAGAGATGGATGGAGATGGATTTAGAGATGGGTAGATAGATCTTGATCGATCGGTGAGGGAGGGGGGCGATGGGTAGGTAGCATGCTGGCTGGCTGGTAGTTTGCTCCACAAGTGAGTGGCGTCTGTCTCTCTGTCTGCCTGTCTGTCTGTCTGTCCAGTTGGCTTTGTAAATGGAGCCTCGGCCATCTGCTTCCCTTTCATTGCCCGTCTGTCTGTCTGTCTGCCTTGTCATTTCTCTTAATTGGTGTACGTATGGGCGGCGAAACCGTGTCCGTGTCGACTCGCCGCATCATTTCTTGCCTCGCCTCGTTGCCTCCCTGCCTGCCTGCCTTGCCTCTTCTCGTCCCTCGACCGTTTGTCTGCGTGTGTGTGTGTGTTTTCGGCTGATTGCATAGCCGCCCGCCCTCCCCACCCGTGTGTTTGATTGGTCGATCATTGATTCCTTCGCGTAGCCAGCGATGCGATGCGATACGGATGCATGTGTGTGCGTGTGTGTGTATGTGTTTTTATGTGTTTTCATGTGTATGACAGACGCAGGCCAGCTGTGAGTTGACACGGTCTGGCATGAATGCGAGTTGTCTGTTAATGTGTCAATCCATGATACTATGAGTCGGCAAAGTGCACAGCCAGCAATCAACCACCGAGAGAGTGTGAGAGCTATGGATAGATCCACACGCATTCACCAACCAAACCACCGCCTCAAATAACCATTCATTCCCTCAGTTCGAAATAAGCCCACTGCAGTAAGACGAATCCCAAGATACCCTCAATTCACCCATCCGCAGATCCTGCTCGATGACGGCACACTAACAGTCACAGTCACAGTCAGTGCAGAGAAGCGCAGGGGCTGCTCATGCGATCAAAAAGGCAAGCTGCTGCCAAATATAAAACGTAGGCAGCGATAGTCAAGAAAAATGCATGGAGCCCGGGAGCCCAGCAATATCTGCAAAACACACACACGGACATACAGACCATACACACATGTGCCCCATCTACAGTACGTGCGGTGCTTGGCGGATACCAGTGGGAAAATGGTCACATGAAGACAAAGGACAGCCGCCGACCGGGATGCTCAGGAGGGCGATGCACGGGATGCTCGCGAGCGCCATTGGCCAGGTGATCGACGCCTTGAGTGCGCTGCACCACAACACACAGAGAAGAACCAAAAAGCACCCCTCCGGACCATGCACCATGCTGCCAGCGTGTGTGGGGTCTTCCCGAGCGTCCCCCGCCTCTCTCCGCCCTCCCCCCTTACTATTTCTTCTCCTCTCCTTCGGGGACACCCGATTTCCCCGTCGTGGAGGTGCCCAAAGCACTGACTGAGCCCATCATTCTCGGAGTTGAATACCGAGTTGGTGGGAAACGGACCAACAAAAACAGCAAAGGAACGGCAGCAAACGCTCTAGACGAAGAAGCTGGAACACAATTGACTCAAGGGAACTGCTCGAAATCGCTGGAATTTTGTTGAAGAAATTTACGAAAAAGAAATTTAGGGTTTGGGTTAATTGCGTGTCTCGTAGATCGCGCCAGGCCACTGGTCCCACGAGCTCGCACACGGTGAGTTCGCTTGCGAATTCCAGCGAATTGTAGCGTCTTCGTTCAGTCGGCTTTCGTGCATCTCCTTCTACTGATTCGTTTGCTACCGTTCCCCTTCTGTTTCCGTCGGTCAATCTCCCACCACCTCGACTACAAAGTTCGAGAATGATGGGCTCCGTGGGTGCTCTCGGCACGTCCACCACGGGCAAGTCTGGCGCCCCCGAGGGGGGGGAGCGCAAATAGTAAGGGGGGAGGGCGGAAAGAGGCGGGGGACACTCGGGAAGACCCCACAGACGCTGGGAGCATGGTGCATGGTCTGGAGGGGTGCTTTTTGGCTCCTTTGTGCGTGTTGTGGTGCAGTGCGTTGAAGGCCTCGATCACGTGGCCGATGGCGTTGGCATCGATCCCGTGCATCGCCCTGCTCAGCATCCCGGTCGGCGGGTGCGTGCTGGCGGTGCTGCTGGCACTCCTACCGTTGGTGGCCCTGACGCCATGTTTCGCCCTGGCATCGCTGCCCTGGTGGATCAACCAGCTGGTGAACAAACCACGCCCGCACGTGCACCACAGAGGGCTGTGAAGTCATGTCTCCGTCACCTGACGGTCGTGCGGGGTGTTTGCGGTGGTCTGTGTGTGGTTATGTGTGTCAGGAGGGCGGCCTCATCCACCCGCTGATCATCTACCCGTGCCTGCTGTGCGCGGCCCCGATCTCGGTGATGTGCGCCATTCCCCTGCTGTTCCTGGTGCCGCCTCTGCTGCTGTGCCTGTGCCCATTCTTCTTCATCCTGCCGTTCGTCTTCCTCGCCTCCATCCCGACGCTGGTACGGACGGGACACACACATGGGTGGTGGGGAGGGCCCAGATATGCACGTGTGTGTG